TTTTTTTTTTTTTTTTTTTTTTTTTTTTTTTTTTTTTTAAATTTTTTTTTTTTCAACGTTTATTTATTTTTGGGACAGAGAGAGACAGAGCATGAACGGGGGAGGGGCAGAGAGAGAGGGAGACACAGAATCGGAAACAGGCTCCAGGCTCTGAGCCATCAGCCCAGAGCCCGACGCGGGGCTCGAACTCCCGGACCGCGAGATCGTGACCTGGCTGAAGTCGGACGCTTAACCGACTGCGCCACCCAGGCGCCCCCCAATGTGTCTTGTTTTCTAGGGATGGAGAAATCCCTGCAATATATTATTTCCTGGAAGGTTAAAAAAATTGTGAACAAGTGATACTATATCAAACTAAAAAGCTTCTGCACAGCAAAAGAAGCCTCAACAAAATGAAAAGGCAACCTATAGTATAGTTGAAATATTTACAAATCATATATCTGATAAGGGGTTATATCCAAAATATATTTTAAAAACTCACATAACTCAATAGCAAAAACCCAAACAATCCAATTTAAAGACAGGCAGAGGAACTGAATAGACATTTTTCTAAAGAAGACATGCCCATGGCCAGTAGGTACATGAGTAGGTGCTCAACACCGCTAATCATGAGGGCAATGCAAATCAGAATGAGGATCTAATGTATAACAACTTGGTGACCACTGTAGTGAAATATCACCTCACACCTGTTCAATTTTTTTTTTTTTTTTAAGTAAGTTCTAGGCCCTATGTGGGGCTTGAACTCATGACTCCAAGATCAGGAGTCTCTTGCTCTACTGACTGACTGAGCCAGCCAGGCACCCCACCTCATACCTGTTGGAATAGCTGTTTATCAAAAGGAAAAAAGATAACAAATGTTGACAAGGATGTGGAGGAAAGCAAACGCTCATGCTTTGTTGGTGGGAGTGTAAGTTGGTACAGCCACCATGGGAAACAATATGGAGGTTCCTCAAATAAATTAAAAATTGAATCGTTGATCAATAAATACCCACTTCTGGGTATTTACCCAAAGAAAATGAAAATAGGATATAGAAGAGATATATGCACTCCCATGTTCATTATTCACAATAGCCAGGATATGGAAGCAACTAAGTGTCTGTCAATGGATAAATGGATAAAAAAGATATAGTATGTATATGTATATGTCCACACAATGTAATATTATTCAGTCATGAGAAAGAAGGAAATCCTGACATTTGTAACAAATAGACCTTGAGAGCATAATGCTAAGTGAAATAAGTTAGAGAAAGACAAACACTGCATGGTTTCACTCAGATAAAGGATCTTAAAAAAAAAAAGTCAAACTCATTAAAGCAGAGAGTAGAATAGTGGTTGCCACGGGTGGGGGGGCAGGGGGTAGGTGGGGGAAATAGGAAGAGGTTGGTAAAAGGGTATAAACTTTTAGCTATAAAATGAATAAGGTCTGAGGGTCTAATGTATAATATAGTGACTATAGTTGTTAACACTATAATATATAATTGACATTTGCTAAGAGAGTAGAAACTAAATGTTCTTACTAAAAAATACACATATATTTATATGTATATATAAATATGTGAGATGTTGGATGTATTAATTAACTAGAAGGGAGGAGTCCTTTCACAATGTATGTGTATATGTATATCCAATCATCACAATGTACACTTTAAATATCTTACAATTTTACAATTACAAAATGAATGAGATTTTACAAAAAAAGAGAGAGGAATAGGAAAATCAAGAAACAGATTCTTTTTTTTTAATGTTTTTATTATTTATTTTTGAGACAGAGAGAGACAGTACATGAGCAGGGGAGGGACAGAGAGAGAGGGAGACACAGAATCTGAAGCAGGCTCCAGGCTCTGAGCTGACAGCACAGAGCCCAACGCAGGGCTCGAACTCATGGAGTGTGAGATCATGACCTGAGCTGAATTCAGATGCTCAACCAACTGAGCCACCCAGGTGCCCCAAACAGATTCTTAAGTATAGAGAACAAACTGGTGGTTACTAGAGGGGAGGTGGGTGGGAGGATGGGTGAAATAGGTGATGGGGATTAAGGAGGGCACTTGTCGTGATGAACATCAGACGATGTATGTAAGTGTTATATTACTACATACACCTGAAATTAATATAACACTGTATGTTAACTAAAAATGGAATTCAAATAAAACTTAAAGTAAAAAAATGAGATCTTGCCATTTGCAACAACATAGATGGACCCAGAAGCTATAATGCTAAGTGAAACAAATCAGAGAAAGACAAATGCCATATGATTTCACTTACATGTAGAATCTAAAAAACAAAATAAATGAACAAAGAAACAAAGAGACAAACAAAAACCCAAGACTGTTAAATATAGAGAGAATGAATGAATGAATGAATGAATGAATAAAGCAAACTGGTTCATTGCCACAGGGAAGGGGGATGGAAGGATGGATGAAGTAGATAAAAGGGATTAGGAAGTACAAACTTCCAGTTACAAAACAGAGAAGTCACTGAGATGAAAAGTACTGAATAGGGAATATAGCCAATAATGTTGTAATACTGCTGCTTGGTAACAGATGGTGACTACACTAATGGTAAGCAGTGAGTAATGTATAGAATTGTTGAATCGTTATGTTGTACACCTGAAATTAACATAATACTGTATGTTAATTATAAATAAATTAAAAATAAATAAATAAACACGATAACCAATTGTTAAAATAAAATCAATATCTTATAATTTTATTTGTCAATTATACCTCAATAAAGCTGAAAAAACTGTATTTCATTATACAACCTGATATCAACTTCACAGTTATCTTGGGGACAGAAACCAAACTTCTTTTTCCCTTCAAATGAACTTAATATGTGGTTAATGTTGACCTGCTTTCTTAAGGCAGATGGTGACTTAACAGATGGTTTGTTTTCTCTTTGCTTTGTTCAGGCATGTTCTGAAGAATAGCATTTTTTAGGTTGGTACAGTCACAGGTCAGACTTTTCCCTCATGAAGCAATTCTCTATACTGATACATATGCTATATATAGAACTCTCCGGAGATTAACAAACTCAAAAATCCTATTACAAAAAACTTAACTTTTCTGATGTTATCTAATGATGGTAATTCAGAAAATCTTACTCTTTTACAAAAAAAATATTTATTTAAAAATGGAATCTATGCTTTTCTGCCTTCATAAGCAGAATTCCCTGTATTTAATTTATCCCCCCTTCATGATGACTCAGTCATCACTGGGAAAATGAATAACTATTTTGGGATGTGACACAAAGATTCCCTCAGAGGATCCTGAGATGTATGACAAGATGTCCTTAAATGTAAATAGTCCCAAAATATTCAGCAAGCTTTTTGAGTTCATGCATCTGTGTTTTTTTAAACAATGGTTTTCTTTCCTCTTTTCTACATTAATTTTTCCCAGTCATTTCTCCTAGCTGTCGTGTGGCCCATGTGTTTTAGTCTCTATTTGTTATTTATTATGTATTGGTATTTTTCCTTTTTTAAAAATGTTTATTTTGAGAGAGAGAGCACGAGCAGGGGAGGGACAGAGAGAGAGAGAGAGAGAGAGAGAGAGAGAATCACAAACAGGCTGCATGCTGTCAGCACAGAGCCTTACTCAGGGCTCAATCCCATGAACCATGAGATTATGACATAAACTGAAGTTAAGAGTCAGATGCTTAACTGACTGACCCACATAGGTGCCGCTGGCATTTTTCTTTAAACACGCACAAACTCATTTCATAAAGGTAATACAGCATCTTAAATATAATAAATATAATAAATTACAAATAAATTAAGCAGTCAGAAGAAGAAAAAGCAAGGGTAAGAGAAATAAGATTGGGCCAGGGATGAAGCTAGTGCTCTCAAAAATGCACATTTTGTTAGAAGTGGGCTACAATTTTGTTTCTGAGCTCTTTGGTAACCCAAACAGATAAGCAACTGTGTGATTCAAAAGGCCCAAAAGATAGAAAATAAAGCAATATTTAATTGACAGCTTTTAATTATTTTTTCGTCGCCCCCCAAACCAGTTATTCCTTCTTGTTGGAATAGGATCTTCAAGAGTAAAAATGCTTTATTAGAGGACCAGAGTATGTTCTTCGAAACAGCAGAGCCTTAAAACATACATTGAGCAGCCTCTGTTTTGGAGGCTTGAAAGCCATTTTGTTTATTTGTTTGCTTCCTTCCTTCTGGGTTCTTGGTTGAGTTCTGGATAACTGTGTCAAATGAGTCATTTCAGGATGAAAAGTCATTCATCTGCATTGTCTCCTTATCCAGCTGTTGGCACAGAGTCCGTGGAAAAGCTTTCTCTTCTGTGTATGTGGTCTTCACTTTCCTTCTCGTCTTTGGTCCTGCTTCTTTGGGAAAATCTAAAATCCTACTTCAAGCCTGTTCTTGGAGCATTTTAATGCTCCATTTTAATGCTCCAAGTTAAAATGCAGCATTTTAACTTGCTGGATAGGATGCATCCACCTGTCCTCAGTGTAATTTCTTTCTTAGCAAAATTATGGGGTGGGTTATTAAACAGATGGCTTGTGATCAGTTGGAGCCAGTATTTTATTAATCTACAAAGACTTTGTAGATCAAGAACTAGAGATACTAAAAATGGGAATTAGATGTGAAAACTTTCCCCAATCATTAAGTTTGCATTAAACTATAGCTCTAGTTTTGTATTATAAACCTTGTAATAGACGTCAATGGGACCACCCTTTTAAAATGTTACAAAACTCTGAATGATGTTGTTCAAAAGAAACATGCATCCCGAGAGTCACAAATCACAAATCATACTGAATCACTATGTCTTTTGGAAAAATGTCCCTTCTCCTGCAAAAAAAAAAAATAAATAAATATCCCTCCCCAAGTCCTGCCCTCCTAATGACCCTCATCCTGTAGCTCTCCCTGTCTTCTCCCTGCTATCCTTGCTCTTCCTCCAGCCAAATGCTC